CAATTCGGGGCTGGGTCAGCGGCACGACGGGGTTGCTCTACCCCGTCACCGAGGGTGTGGGTTAGCAAAGCCCGCTGCTGGGGGGAGAGAAGGAGGAGGAAAGCATGGACCGAAACGAGAGAAGCTCTGAGAAGGTGAAGGACTCCCCAGCTGAGCTTCACTGGAACCCCACGAGGGAACGAGAGCCGCGTCAAAACGGCGGCTGCAACGGAGAGAAGCTCTGAGAGGGTGAAGAGCTCCCCAGCTGGGCTTCACGGGACCCCCACGAGGGACCGAGAGCCGCGTCAAAACGGCGGCTGCAGAGCCAGCGCCTCGGTCGGCGTCTCTGGCAGGAGACACGAAGGTGCGCGCTCAGCTCCCTCGCAGCGGCCCGCGTCCGCTCGGAGCAACGAGTTAGCACCATTCGCTTCGTGCGTTGCTTAAGCCATCAAAACCGGACTTCGGTGAAGCTTAAGCAATGCGCAAGGTCCTGCAGAGACCTTCTGTCCTCCCACCAGAAGCCCTCGGCGGAGCTAAGGAAGAGGGAAGGTGCCTCGGGCAAGGGCCAAAGCCAGGCAGAGACTTTAGGGGGAGATGAAAGGGGAAAAAAATAGACAAACTGGGAGAAGGATAGATGGGGAAGAAACCAAGGCTTTGTTTTGCAAGTGAGATGCACGATTTCTCCCCTCTTTTTGCTTTCCGGAGCAGTGCAACGAGGTGCTCAATGGATGGGGCAAGGAGGTAATGGGGCAAGGAACTACCGATAAAATACTTGTTGGTCTCCTGTCAGTGTCCCAAGTGCCCTATTTACTCTTGCTTTTATTTTTGCAGGCTGCTCATATGGTATTTTCAGCATCATATATTATGATGATATTATGATATTCATATATCATAAAATATGATGCTGGATGCTCTATCAGGCAGATCCAGCGCACGGTTAAGCCTTTCTGCAGGAATTCATGGGATGAGCCGTTCCCACAACGTGTCAGTAGGTGGCAAAAAGCTACAACCCTTGTGCTAAGCAAGAAATAAATATTTTTCCAGCTCCTGCAAGAACAGGAGGTATATGTGGGCAGCTCCATCCCGTCGGCGGAGATGGATCGTGTTTCCCCTGGGACAGAGATTCCTGCGCTGCTGGGAAGGAGGGCACATCCCAGAAAGGGCAACATCCCATACAGGGAGCAGGTAAAAAGGCTCAGAAGAGAAACAAGAGCTGCCTCCCTCCGCTTTATTCATCAGGGGACCCTTGTGCCATCTCTTGACCTTGCTCAGGAATTATTTAAAGCAAGCTGGAAACCGTAAGGGCTTAATCGCTGTTTCCAGCATTGGAAAACAAGAGGTTTAGGGCTGTGCTACTGTGCCGCAGTCTGGGGATACCTAGTTAGACAAACCAAAACGTGCCACGGTTGATATTTTTCAAGCCGATGATAATACTTTAATCTTCATGTACAGCCTGAAAGAGAGCTGCTCAAGTCAATGTTCTTGGGCGCTTCCCTCTCGAGGCTTTGTGTAAGCAGATGGAAGCAATCCCAGTTGTCACACACCTTCCGGTGAGGCAGGGTAGATAAAGGGTTTAATAAGGTTAGTGGATATATCCCAGTGCCTTTGACGGTGGGGTTTTGTCTGCTTTTGAATGTGTGCCTGTGTTGGGGAAGGGAGGATGCTGTATGATGCTGAAAACCTGCATTCCTGAGGAGGTCGAATACTCTGAGCACCAGCAGGGACAGAGCCTGGGAAGGTTAGAAAATCACATTAATCCAGACTACGCAATGAGATCCAGTTACAGCGTGGCTTTGTTCAACTTCCTTTACCTAACACCTCCTTTACTGAGCATAAGTGAATCATTTTTCTCCTCGGGAACAATAACTGAGACGTTACAGCAAACCCGGCTGCAAGGTCTCTGAAACACCTTCCTGCTTTTTTAAATACAGGGGTAAGGTTCATTGGCATTTCCTCATATAAGTTGTACACTTAATTGCTAATGGTTTTGCCAGACACTGACCGCTGGTTCTGACTTTCCGCCGCTCAGTTGTCTGCTTCAGGCTGAGCATTATCATGTTGGTTTAACATTTCAGCAAAACCGGTTCAGCTAAACCTGAGCTGGAGGAACTTGGGTTCCTCTGGCTACGTTCATACCACCAACAAAACCACGCTGGTTTCTGTGGCGCGTGACGTAGGTTGAAGCTGTGTGTGTGCTCAGTTACGTTGAGCGGCAAGTTTCATCCCCTCCGTAGTTGGCTGTAATGACTCAGCCTCCAAGTGATGAGCTAATATCGAGCATTTGGAATTGGGAGCTATTCAGAGAAAAACAGCTCTGTAAAGTCTTCCTTGCTGCGTTGCAGCACATGCGTTACAGGGTTTTTTTCCACCTTCTGTAATTTGTAGAAAAGTCTAAGTTTCACCTTTAGTAATAGAGAAAACATTTTCATTTCCATCCTCTGGAAAGGATCTTAGAAAACATGAGAAGAGGATGAGTTGCCATCTGCTTCTCTACAGGTTATGATGAATTAATGCAATTTGAGAGCAGCACAGTCAAACAATTTTGAGCATCAGAAGTAGAAAGTGGGTTTTCTGGTTTTATCACCTCCATAAGAGCAAATTGTGCACACTGTAAACTGATAAATTAATACTCAGAGTCTCTTCTCTGCACAGTTTGTGATATGGATCGACCGGTCCACGCACTTTTCTCCGTGGGCAGCACTCTTCCCCAGTGCTGGCAACATGATTATTGGAAAACTAATCAGCTCTATCTGAGATAAATTGCATTTCCGCCAATTATAGCTTAATTGTTGACAGATGGGAACACAGAAGGGAGATGTGTCACATCATTAAGAGGACAGGTGTATAGACAAGTGCCAGATTAATTGTTCCAGCCCATTAAACCGTTGACCTTTTCAGCATACCCTCAACATCAAATTCAAAGCTCTCACAATATTTCCAGCTCACACACGATGACCATGTTTATCAGCAAAGTTCTCAGGGGCGTTTTCAGAACACACAGACTCCAAACACGGACTCATTAGCCACAAGCAGTTCTCCTTTCTCATTAAAATCAGTTCTCCTCTTCCTCCTTCTCTGTGTTGGTTTCTTGGCTTTTCAGTGAAATCACGCATGGCATGTGGGCTTTCTCCGAAGAGCTGCTTTCTCCACGAAGCACGTAGACATGCTGTAATGGGCTGTACATTAGGGATGTCAACAAGAGAGAGAGAGGTGGAACCAGGACAGAGAAGCTCAGTGCTGGGCCGCCGTGCTGGAGGCTCCAGCTTTGATTCGGGGCTTTGGCTGTGTTTCCCAGCTCCTGTTCTGCCGGGGATTTTCAATAAAGAGAGACACATAGCTACATATCATTGAAACTGAGTCTGCCCTGGGTGTCTAATTCCCCTAAATACGTGTAAAATTGTGTCTCCTGCTCTTTTCCTGGCTATGCGATCCAGGAAGCTGAGGGTGCAGTGCAGACACATCCAAAACCTCTTTGCGGAAGGTAGCGCAGGCTCTGGAGAGTGACGCAGGCTGTGCCTCTTCTGCCCTGAGCCACCCAGACCCTGCACTGTCCTGGGTAACCGAGAACTGACTCCAGATCTAGTTGTTCTGGATGTCCTGACTTGAAAAACAAGAGGATAAGATTTCCAGCTGAAGGAAATGAAAGTTGCTGTGATGATAATCGTATTCGTTGCTCCTGGAGTCCCTGTCCTGTGCCAACGGGCTGATTTGAAGATATTTGACCCTTGGGTAGGTTTTAGAGAGACCAAGTGGAAAGCAGGACGTACGGGGAAGCATTAATGCCCTTCATCAGCTCTGCAACTTCAAGCAGAGGTAAAATTGATGCTGGGAATCAGGCAGGTCTTTTTCCTGGGGCCAGGGCTGGTGGTGGCCTCTCTCCCTCCATTGTATAGCACCGATCCCCCACATATTCCATTTGTCACATTAAAATAACTATAAGAAGCGTAACTGAAATCCCAGGGAATCATTTTATATATGTGCTTGAATGACTTACTGTGTTCCCACAAAGACGATGCACCTTTACTGCGGTGGCCTTTACAGACCTACAAAGACAGCCAGGTAGGAGCCAGGAGAACTGAGTGAAGTTCTCTCTCAGATAATAAATGATTTTATAAGGAAAAGCAGATAATTTTACCAAAAAAATACAGATTTGGGGAGATGGAAACCACATGTCTCTCTTTGATAGATCTGGTACCCTTCATATAACCATCTTTTTCAATATAGTTGGTAATGTCAGGCTGCAACAGGGCAGCCTGACCAAATTCCCGGCAGATGCAGCAGCCTCGACCAGCACACTGCACCACTGGGGTACGTGACGGCAGGAGATGCTGGACATCCCTCAGCTTCCACTCACTGTGCAGCACTGAACCCTGAACAGAGAAGGCAAGGGAATGAAAGCCAGCTTTTTAGAAGATTAATCATAAAACTGTAGGTTAGTACTGAAGAAAGCGGATGTAATTAAGTGTCCAGGGCAGGCGAGGAGAGAAATTCTCAAAAAAGTCAAAAAGGAATTTTAGAAATGCCAGAATATTTGTTTTAAAGATTTCCTAAATGAATCATTTTACCTTGCATTTTGAACTGGGTTTTTGTGGTTTAGGAAAGGATATAAGGTTAAAAAACAGGTTAAACAGAAAGCTTGAGTAACCTGAAGGCAAGCAAAACATTTAATTTCAGTTGGAACTTAATATTTGAGGTTAACCCAGAATATTTTCCAGCTTCTGCTTGTTTTTTTTTTGACAGCCGCCTCCTCTTCCCTCCACCCCCACTTGATTGTTGCTTGGTCCAAGCCATTTTTTCCCCAGATATTTTGATTCAGCCACACAACCCAAAGAGTCATGATTCATTCCATGTCAGTGATCTCCTCATTTCCAGCTGTCCTTTCCACTGGCCCACGCTCCCAGAAATGCCGCTTACTATGAACATCATGTCTCCACCCTCAGTCCATCCAGCTGGGGGTTTTCAGCCCCGCCAGAGCTTGGGCTGGTTTCTTCGGCACGTCCCTCTCGCCCCAAGCCATGCCACTAGAAGTCCTTATCAAAGAAGTCATCAAAGAGAGAAACTCTCTCTGTCTTGGTTCTCACAAGTGTAGGTTTGCGGTAGATCTTCTCTTCCCTTTCCCACTCCTCGGAGCCTGTGCTGGAGGTGTCCCAGAAGAGATCCCTCGTCCGCGACTCCCTGCAGAACCACAGGTCAACCTTCCCGCTCTTGCCTGGAGAAAGTTCAGCCCCATCGTGCTGGCTGGTGAGTCTTCCATCCCATGTGTTTCCTTGGGGAGGAAGAAAAAAAAAAGAAATCATGATTTTGCAGAGCTGCATGCCCAGTCCCCTAAAGCTGAGCTGGAAATGGTTATGGGCAGCTGGGGGCATGTGAAGAAGATCCTGAGAGATCCCTGCAAGACCAGACCCCACGCTTGGGGCTGGGCAGGGCCAGGTATAATACACTCAGCTTTATATTTGGTGAAATTATACAGTCTGGCAAGAGGCAGTATGGTTTTATCCCCAAGCAGAAGAGAGCTGAGGTGAAGAAACACGAGGGAATGGGAGCGGCCAAGTCTGTTCCACTTTCTCCGGGTGAAAGTTAACTGGCAGACAAGTTTTTCACTGGTTTAAGCATTTTTACCTTTGGTTATATGTTTCCAGCCTGTGCCGAAAGTTGTCACGCGCAAGCAAAGCAGTACTGGGTCCGTGCCTCGGGGACGTCAGTACGAAGTGGCGGCTGAGATTCGCTTCGATCGCCCCTTCGTTAGGGACAGCGAGCTCGCCTCGTGCGCCCTGGCATCTCCAACCTCCCCGGCGGCTCCGCCAGCCTGCACCAGCCAGCGCCCCAAAGCTCGGATCAGGGTCACGAGCCCCACAGCCCAGCCCTCCAGATGTCTGCTACGTCCATCCCTGCTGCTCGCCCGTCCTCGAAGCGTGCGGGGGGAACGAAAAGCCGCTGCTCAGCGTTCGCTGGCATCACGCCGACCGTGCCGCGCTCCCTCCTGCGCTACGGCGCGGGCTGCCGCAGGACACCATGCCCAGGAGAGGCCGAGATCTGTTGCCGTTAAACGGATCGCACCTGATGCGTTTTCACATCAGACGTTGAAAGTTGGACAGAGCCACGGCTGGAAACCATCTAACCGGGAACATCTCACCTTAATTACGTATCACCCAGAGGGACGCAAGTCTGTGATGGAAACTGCCTGGCTCTGGGCAGCGGGAAGCGGTTTCCGTATAAAAGCTAACCTAAAAACTGAGTAACCTCCGTGACTGTGACATTTACCCCATGGTCATTTAAGGATGGCAGGAGTCCAGAAGCTACACCGTGCATATGAATGCAGCATATTGGTGGACCATGCAATGACGAAGCCAGGAGCAAATCTGTGGCAGCTGTGGCTCAAGCAGCTCATTCTCCATTTCTTTCTCCTGCTGAGCCTGGTTCCAGCTTCCCAATGTGCCCAAGGGGCTCTTCCTGAGAAGCCTTACTGCAAGGTTGAAGACCTCAAAATGTATGTGGGTACCGTCCTTCAGTCCCTCATGCATGTCCAGGGGGAGAAACGAGCTGATGGTTCTCCTAAAAAACAGTCTCACAAGGTCCCTGAAAATAACTGGTGATCTCAAATCACCCTGGTTTCCCTTTTGCTGCAAGGGAACATCACACTTCCTTCCTCCAGAGCAGAAAAAATTGAGATATAATCAATATATGCAGTGGGAGAGCTCTTCTGAAGCCCACCCTGCTTGACCCCAGCTGAAGATTTGAGCTGGCTGTTTGCGCCATGTGCCCTGGTACATTTTGCTGGGGAACCACGCGGTTGTGTACCCACTGACGACTGCAGCTCCCAGCAGTTCAGCTCTGCGCTCCCTCCGGGAAGGCACCAGCCCCGCGCCTGCCCGGGGCAGTCTGTGGGTCAGTGTGGGACTGGGGCTTGGCTTCAGCTCCCCAGCTGAGGATGGACGCATGTCGCAGTGGAGACTCTGCCAGAGTAACTCATGTCTCGTGCTTGGAGGGAAGCTGGCAGGGCACGTTTTAATTGGCGACTGCCAACCTTGCCAGGGTGACGGCTGCGCCATTGCCGCAGCCTACATCCCCATGAGCACGCCCCGGCCTCAGGCAGGAGGTGTCCCATGCTGGGGCAGAGGGCAAAACCTGGCCTAAAGGTTGATCTTCAGGCAGTTGTTTTCCGTTATCTTCTCCTTCACCACTTTGGCCATCGTGTTGGTGGAGCTTCAGCTATCTATCCAGCCCATCTATGTTGATTTGTGCAGCGGTCTCTACGCTGACCTCCTGGGATGCTTTTGGCTGATGGACCCTCTGACTCTCCAAGGACATGGGACCCCAGGGACACCCTCTGTCCTCATGCTCAGTTTGCTGTGCAGGGTACACATGAGACAACCTAAGACTCTCCTGCAGGAACCTGCTCCTGCAGGGGCTTGGCCCTGAGGACTTTGGTTTTATGCCCCTATGGCCCCCCATGGCTCTTAATTCATGTCTACTCAGGTCTATTTGGATGCTATCACAGAAGCAGCCCAGAGACCTGCGTCCTGTCCTAAGGCATCCCAACGCTTTTCCTTACAAACATATCTTCCAGCCTTCTCCCCTCTCAGGTCTTTTGAACTTGCACCATGTCACTGCAGGAGATGGAGCAGTGGAAGCAGCTTCCATAGGGAAACTTCTCTGATGACACTTAAGAGGCTGGCAAGTTTTACATCTCCTTGCAAAATTATTCTACTTACCATGGTTATCTCCATGAAAATGCTGATTGTGCTCAGCAGGGACAAGGTCTCGGCTTTTGGCGCTGTTGCCTCTCTGGAGACTGTCAAGGACTTTCTTCGGGCTCAGTTCCTTGGTTTTTTGTTTATTGATTTTCGCTTCCCTGTGGAGATTTCGCTTCAGCTCTGCCTGGGTTTGCAAATGAGTTGTCAACACAAGCAGCAGAGGAGCGAACACGTTTTAACAGCTCGACGTGGCATATCATTAGGGGGCTGGCACTGAAAATAATTACACAGTTGGGTAGTTTAACCAGGGCAAATGGTATTTGCCAAACTGGGTATGTGACAGAACACGACCCGGACAGGGATTTTTTGGTTTCTCCATGGGCCACGGCCAAACGAGGGCAAAGTGTTGCAAAAATCAGAAGTAATTACTGATCATGGGGACCCCGGGGATGGTCCCCACCTCGCCTCTGCCTAAACCACCAGGAAAGCTTCATTCGCTCTTCCCAGCAAGAGGCTCTAAGCCTCTTGGTCCACGGGAGAGACATGAGGGATGGGCAGACCCACCTCCAAGAGGGGAACCCCCAGCCTCTCCCAAATCCATCTCAGCATTACCTCTCGGCGCCTGCGGGTCAAGTCCAGCATCTGCAGCTTGTGCAAGTGCTGCCGCCTGCCAGGAGGGTATCTCAGGCTTTGCCCCCTCTTCTCCAGAGCCTGTAAGGTGTTTAAAAACATAAATAAATACACCTGCATTTTCTGAAAGAGAAAGGAACAGCCACCAGCTGGCAAATCCACGCCCGGCCCCTCGGGCGCTCCCCGGATAAAGGCAGCGAGCGTCTCCCGGCGCAGCCAACTTGCAGAAATTTATCACGGATTTCCACTGCGCTTGCAGTTTATCTCACAGCTCTGGGGCATGATGGAAAAAAAATCTTCATTAAAACAACGTATACGTGCTTCTGCCCCCCGAGGTGTTACTGCTTTGAGTCGGCTGTCCAAGGCAATCTCATGATCCGAAGGGAGGAGCCGCTCTTGCACGCTGGGGGTTGCAGGAGGTGTTTACGGCACACAGCCCTCGCGGGCCTCTCCTCGCCGACTGCAAGCGATGGGTGTTCTAGTTGCTCAGCCATTTAAAAAAAATGGTCCTCAAAACCTTTAGCCTCAAAGATATTTAAGGACCTGGCTCAGCAGATCTGCCTCATCCAGGGAACTATCATGCTGGAGATTCAGAAACTTTTCCCCTTGTTTTGTAGCCTTTCGCCCCCACACCGGTGTTTCAGCCAGTTCCTGGGCTCAGCCAGGGACGGGAACACAGAGAGCACTGAATTCTGCTCTTCGGGGTGCCCGACGCACGAGAGCCTGCAGCCGGCAATGACCCGTGCATGGAGCTCAACCCATGCCCTTACCTTCGTTTTTGGTGTTGCAGCCCCTTCTTGCTGACTCCAGGGTTTCGCAGGAGCGATTGCTCGTGGAGGGCCAGCAGGTTCAAGCCTCTGCAAGTCCAATATTTGTAATATTCAGCATTGCTTGTTCCACGCAATCATAAAACCTGACATGAAACTACCGTGACATTTTTCCAGCTCCAATTCTGGCCCAGCTGCTTGGGATACAGGAAGGAGACCGGCATCTCTAGCAGATGCTCAGGGAGTTTAACATCTCCTTAGGTGCTTCGGGAGTGGACAAAACTGGGGGAATGTCTGCATTAGAGTCAAAGCAGCAAAATCCCAGTTTGACATTAGTTTCATCCCTGTAGGTATTTGTCTTTGAGCCTCAGCAGTGCCCAAGGCTCCAGCCAAGACCAGAGCAAAGAGAAACCCTGACCCAGATTCCTTCATGTTGAAGCTGAAGCACGGAGAGGTATCATGATTTAATCTAAAGTCTCCTAGCACGTCATCCGAGGGCAGATCCCGGATACCCGAGAGCCAGAGCACCGTTCCCTCCACCCAACCAGTCTCTTTTAATTTGGTCCGAGTACAACCTTTCTCTGCAGAACATGGTACGAAGTGCCTTTCCTGGTGGCTAATGGAAGGGGGCAGAGACTTGCTTTACGGACTGCTCTGAGCATGGATTTTTATCTCAAGGACCTAAGTTGTCTCCTTCAACCATGCCAAGCTACTTAGATGGTACTGGGTCATCCCACGGCTTGATATTGCCAGCATCCCCTTCTAGGAAGGGAGCCCAAAAATAAGGGGAGCATCATCAAACGTCTTCATCAGTAAGACCTGACTGACTGACACTCTATGTGGGACATCATTAACCCCTTGAACATGAACTAGTGTCTAATAAAGGGTGACATGCCTCTGGCTGTCTGCACTGAACTGCTGCCAAAGCCTGAGCTCTAATTTTGAAGCCTCCCGTAAATCAATGCAGGAGAAAAAAAGTCAGCAGCATCATGCAAAGGAGGCATCCCTTGTCAGCCCCGAACGCCAGGTTCACACCTTTTAGCATTAAAAAACCCCACAAAACTGAATATGAAGCTTAAAAAATGGCACTAGATGGCAGCATGTGACACCACAAGCTGCGGTCCGGGCCGCGCATCGCTCCCAGATGCCACCAAGCAGCCAGACTCCTGCATCTATCGGCTCATCTCGCTGCGCCCGGCGGGGAAGCCAAGTTTCAGGCTTCTGCTAAAGTTGTGTCGCAGGGTGGAAAATGGACTGGTTTCTTCCTCTTTGTGAACCTCACAGGATTTTTCTCTGGAAATACTCCCTGTCTGAAATCCTCTAAAAGTCCTTGAAAAGGCCACATCATCCTGCTCTGCTGTCCTTGAAAATATTCCCACAGGGAAAAGGGCTTTTGCTGGTGCTTTTTACACTCCCTAACAGCAATGGCAGAAGCACGGAGTAGGATCAATGGTGTCATTGTCCTACAGTGCGTATTATCAGTGTTTTAATAATACATAAATACAGCCGTAATGGAAATAAGATCAATGACTAAAAATTACGTGCTGGTAGGAGATTTTTAAATGAGGCCGCGATTCCATGTGACAGTTCACCGGGCGTAGCTGGGCTCATTCCAGGTGCTGCTGCCTCATCCTCCCACCAAATCCAGGGACACATTACTCAAGAGTTGGTGGCCACCTGTGCTCTCTGAAGCCACCAATCTTGGCCAGACCCACAGCCCGGGTTTCAGCTGACCCCATCTGGTAGCTCCTCTGTTCTTTATTATATTAAAAAGACCTTAATCACAGCAAGGAACGCTTGAGCAAAGCACCTCTGCTTCAGAGGGTTTGCTGTTGTGGGTCACGTGCAGAGGGTTTGTCACCAAATTTTGGGAGAGTGGAGATGCAGTCAGGGAGGAACAGGAGGGTCTCGGAGAAGCACAGGGAGGTGAGATGTTCACCCAAGGACTCTAATTGCAAGGGGTTCTACATGTGGCTGGGAAGGAAGATGACCAGTGGTAGCTGCACTACAGAGAAGCACGTGGCCAGCCGGGGCAGATACATCTCTTTTATGGGTTGTTTGTGTTTGCATCTCTTTGTCCCCGACCACCAACCGCTGAGGACTCCCTCCAGCCACCTAATTAGGCTGCTGATGTGCCCCATCCAGCTGGGCTCTCTTAGAAGGGTCTCAGCAGCAGATACAACACTGGCCCTTAATTGCTAATTAAAAGTCCTGCCTAAACGAGAGCAGGGGGCAGCGGAGTTTATTTCCAGCAGCTGAGCTTTCCTTGAGCAGGACACCCTACTGCACCTGTGCTTGGAGGGGTCTGCTCACCTTGTTCTCTTTTCCTGCCTGATTTTATTCCTCTCAGCTCTGTTTGCTCTCTGTTTTGGAGCCCCCAGGCCTGGGCCAAGCAGCAGAGAAGAAACACAGCTGAAAGCCTCAGGCTGGGGCTCTGCAGGAGAAAGATCTGAGGAGCAAAGTGGGAGAGCTGCAGCTCTGGGGCATCCAGAGTGGGGCTGAGCCTGGTGTTCCCCAGTGTCCCTCCCTGACTCTCTGTGGGCACGTAGGGAAGGAGGGAGAACCCAATCTTGGCCAAAGACTGATGGCTTTGCACTTGAAAGAGCAAGCAGGTAAGCGATGGGAAGTCGGAAGGTATTGCTGGCTGGTTTGGGAGGGTGTGGAGAAGCAATGAGAACGCAGGCGGAGCGCGGAAAGCGGCGTGCTTCTCTGGGTTTGGGTTTTACGTAACCTGATTCACGGCAAGTATTGTACAGCCCTGGTAAGGCAGCTCCAGCTTAGCCCTGCGAGCGTGCGATGGCCTGAGCCTCACCCAAGTTTTGTATTGTATAAAAGCGTCGGTGCACAAAAATATCAGCACAGAAAACGCATGTGGAGGGCTTCTTGTCACGTTTTTTTTAATGAAATAGCAACTCTAACCCTTGTGCGGCATGGTATGCTGGTGGTGTTTCCTTTCCTTCTTTGCAGTAAATCATATGGATATAAATATATTTTTGGAGCTTTAGTTAATGTTGTGATAACTCTTGTGTGGAGAAAAACCCAATTGCCAGGTGAGGCAGAGTCACGGGTTTCAGAGCTTGGAGGTGAAGTGCAGGAAGGGGAAAGGAAGATGACGGAGGAGTGAACAAGGGTGCGTTATGCTTGTTTGGGGAGAACTTTCTCTATATCTGGATATACAGACGTGTGTGTGTGCACATGTATATACAGCGCTATTGAAGGGAGAAGGTGAAGGTACGGGTAGGTACACAGCATGCATTGCAATTCTTGGAACCTAAAATAATTGCTCTGTATGTTCACCCGGCCCCTACTGCAAAGCACATCTGTCTGCTTTACCCGTCTCTGCCCCTAAGATGGTGCCGGCCCTTGATGGGAAATTTGGCCTGAAAAGCCAACACCAGCCCCACATGATGCAAGTTGGATCCCTTCTATGAAGAGCTCTGTCGTGGCCACATTAGCCCCATGGGAGCACTAAGATTTGGCTGCAGGTACCCAGACACCACAAAGGAAAATGGGTCGTTACAGGAGAGATGGCCTCACGGCCAGCACTGGGACATGTGTCCCTGTCGGGTGTCTCTATAGCACACGAGGGCTGGCCAGTGAGGCATGGCCCGTGGAGTCAGGCTGGAGGGTGAAGGCAGGGCCTGGCTGTGTTGGCCCCTCTTTGCCTGTTCTTAGAAGGCAAAGTCCTCTCCCTTCTGCTAATGAACCAAAAATAACCTCTCTGTGGCCAACGTACGCGCTCTGCCCCAGGTATCAAACTTGAGCTGGTGGTAAAGCTCATCTCGGGATGATCATCTAGAGATAGGACATCCTACTTGCATTGCTCCAGGATATTTGTTTCCCCCACTGTGCCCACATCTCCAAGAAAGCCCATGTCAAGGGGTCGATCAGAGCAACTCATAGGGAGCTTTTCAAACTCGCCTTACTTGCAGTCTTCGAGGCGGGTGCTGTTTAATGATGCTGGTTTCTCCCTTTTCCGGCACGGTGTTGAAAGAAAGGGGCCCTTAAAGGTTAGAGAAAAACAGGATGAAGTTATATTCAGGTGATCGTCAACTGCTAGGCTGTACTCAGCAACAGCTTTCTGCTCTCTTTTTTGGTTGGCATGTCCCACTAAAGTCTCTCTCGGTGTATCTCAGTAACACATGGTATAAATTACTCTATTAGCTGCAGAAATAGAGTGAGGCCATACCTGTGCCCGTGGTTTCTAACCAACGCCTGCTGCGTACCTCTCCTACTGCCCTCTGCAACCTCCCACGCACCCTAGATGTGACAGTAACCACCCTCCGCGTCTCCTGTGGCCTCCCTGAGCTTTTAAAATGGGGAACAGGCAGCAGTTTGGATCTCTTCTTGTTGCTCGGTCCCCGAGACTTTATTATTGTTATTTTTTGGCGGAACTGAGAAATATCTCCGCTTTTACTGACCGCGACAGAGCTGGGCTACAGCCAGCCAGTGGGTTCAGAAGTGGGTGGGTTATGGACAGACGAGCGGTACGATCACGGACCCTCATCGTCTCTGGGAATCAGCCTGAAATAACGCGCTACGCGCCAGCGGTCGCCGGTTGGTTACTACAGCAGCGCTTTCGCGGTGGCCTGAACGGGATCTGGGCTCGGGTCCGTTCTGCGCTAGTGCTCTGGGGTGGACACCTCTGCCTCTTTTTTTTTTTTTTTTCCTGCACAAATAAATACTTGTGTGTGCCATAAGTATGTCTTTTACAAAAGAGTTTCTCTATCCCACCCATTCTCCAAAAAAGCTGTCTTGGTGCATTCAAATGCCATTTTATACGTGGAGTTGAGTGAGGTGTTGCTGAGCAGCTCCTGCTTCCATGTGGTGGGGGTCCTGATGTGGCTGCAGGGGAGGAGAGTTGGGGATAAAGTGCAGGAATTACATGATAGCTGATGCCAAATTTAATTGTTCTATTAAAAAGAAAAAAAGAGTAATTTGGAGGTCACCTTACAGAGGACTTCAGTGGTCACTTAAAAATTGCCAGGGCAGGGCTCTAGGAGAAGAGGGAGAGAAGGTGGTGGAGGGAGGGCGTCGGGGAATGGGAGGAGACGGTGACTCCCTCGGATAAATGATTGCTGGGCTCTGCTGAGCGCCGGCAATGATTAACCGCTGAGCGAAGCCGCGGCTGCCCCGCACACGCAGGACTGGGTGCCCAAAGTGAGAACCTCCAGCGCAGGAGGCTCCTCCGGAGACAAACTTCAGCTGCCAGGGAGCATGCGCTGAAATAGCACCTCGTAATAGCAAAAGGGGGGGTATTAAGTTATTGCCTCTCAATCTGCAGGACAAATTAGCGCATACGGAATTTCTAAGGGGGAAGGCAAAGGTAAGGAGGTGGCTCACTGCGCTGGGAACATGAGACACAGCACGGGCAAGGGGCTGGGGCTCAGGAGACGCTTGTTCTGGGGAGGGGTATGGCTTCGGGGAAGTTTTCTCCCTTATGAGGTTTGGTGGTTTGTATTGTGTGTGTTTGGGACTTTAAAAAAAAAAAAAAAAAGGATTCTCTCTCGTTCTATCCGTGTGTGTGTCTTGTAGGAGATTTGCCCTTATCCCGTACAGACGCAGAACTGGGAGCCAAGTGCTCGCCGTCCGCAACCCTGTGGGGTCCTGGGGCAGGGATGGTTCCTGGCACACCGGCATGGTGCCAGCACGGAGGGACCGTCGTCCCCCGCGCAGCCACCACCGAGGGAGCGCGGGGTCCGAGCTGAAGTCATTCTCGTGACTTATTTTTTTTACCCTTGCACTTGAGCAGATTCTCCCCGCTAGAGGAAGCGGGATTTAACATGAGCCAAGGTGAACCCTCATAAACCAAATAAAACATATTCCCTTGGAGGCTTTGCTTATTTAGAGAGCAGCTCAAGCTAATACATCACTCAAGTACTCTTGAGCATACTCTTTTTATTTCTGAAAACGAAAAGTAATAGCAAATGACATTTATTGAGGGGGGATTTAAAGTTTTTTTGTAAAAAAATGTGTACTTTTAACAAGCATTTGTTAAATGCCCAATGATGATGATTTTCCAGAACAGGAATATTTGGTTCTTGCTGTCACGAAGTACTTGAAACCCCATGTTGTACAGCCAGACCTGATCTGTATTTGCCCCAGGCTCTGGGAATGTCATCGCTGTCACGCCAGAGGTTTATTTGCTTTCACCATTTCCTGATGCCTCTTGGTGGACACATCCAGCCCCCAGAGAAGTAGCGGTGGTTAACGCCGCTCGGTGAGTGTCCTAAATTCATTTTTAGAAATGGCAAAGAGGGGAGGAGGGTGCAAGCGCTGCAGATCCTCCTTCATCTGTGTTGTCCTTCCTCAAACCACGCTGGCGGCCATGGGGTCTTTCTCCCCGTGCTCACCTAACGTGGCCGTGGGAAGCCGTTCGTCACCATCCAGCTCATTGTACAGAGCTATACGTCCACCTTGGGATGGTGCAAACCTCCTTCCTCACCTCTGGGGAGGGTCTGGGTATGGATGGAGTTTGAAGCCTGCTGTGAAAGGCTGCGGGAGAGGCTGCACGATGCCACTTGTAGGAAAACACACACAGCTACGCTATTTGCCTTCCTCTGCCTCTTAGCTTGTGCAGTTAGCCCTGTGCGAGACATGGCTATAAATTATTTTAATGCCGAGTTTTACCTGCCGAGCATGTTACTCGGAATCTAATTCTAATTAAGCTAATGACAGCGATGTGACGGGTGAGCAGGACGGGTGTATAACCCGCGTTACGCGGCTGCCGCGCGAGGGCTTGCTCGGATGCGGGCGGGAGCC